AGGCACGCACGTAGGCACGCACGCGCTTACACAGATATGCACGCAGGCACACACGCGCTTACACAGATATGCACGCGCGCGCAGGCACGCACGTAAGCACGCACGCGCTTACACAGATATGCACGCAGGCACGCACGCGCTTACACAGATATGCACGCGCGCGCAGGTACGCACGCACGCACACACGCCCGCACGCACGCACGCACGCACGCACGCACGCACGCACGCACACTCACGCGCCATATATAAAACACGATTCATCGATTTCTCGATCGCAACCAAAAAGCGACGTTGTGTGTGTGTGCGTGCGGGCGTGCGTGTGTGCAAATGTGTCTGTGCGTGCGTGTATATAGATAACTCCATCTTCACCCATAGCACGAAAAGGACATAGGGAAAACATTGCACCGTGTGTAATGGGCAAACGCGTTGCTTTTCGAAAGAAATATGACCGACCTCTGAGTACTGACTCAACACCAACGCGAGGTTTAAACTGCGTTGTAAACGTGTATACTATTGCAAATTGAAATGCATGTATTCTTTAACGCCGACCCATCTCAACTTCGAAAGCTTACCATCTCGTGAAGCTAGTGGAAAAACAAACCGGGGCCAAGCGTTCGAATGCCGGTGGGCACTGGGTTCCCATCGCGTATAACACCTGTTCGCATTTTAATACCTTCAAGAGCATATAAAAAAGGCCTTCTTTATATGCTCTTGATACCTTCACAGTACAATCCGCGGAAGAAGCATGGAAGGCATGATTGACATTCTGTTGAGAGTAGCGCACGCAGATAGCAGTGGGATGCACGCGAGCGTGTGCGATTCGTCTACGTGTATCTGAAGCGCGATGGCCGCAGCGTTCGTAGACTGGCCCAGCGTCGTTTCATCAATGGTGACCGACTGAACGCAGTGATCGCACAGAGTCGTCCGACGCAACGACGTCGAGCCAGTCCAACGCCCGCCCGGACTACATCGTTAATTCGAGACGCTGAACAAACAGTAGCAAAGCGGGAGGGGGAGAGATTATTTGTCAGCATTGGCCGCCGCCTTTCGCGCAGTACACGATATCGAATATTTGATATACTCCTGATCATAACTACCTGAATTGCTTTTATCTGACCGGGAGTGCGTGAGAAATTCGCTGCTAAATCCTCGCGAATACGAGTTAGATCTCTTTAAACCTGCTCGGGTTTCTTCGCTATAGCTAGGCCCTGCGCGTACTTAAAAGTATTACCAGTATTTATTGTATGCAAATAGTGAAAATGCCTTTACCTTACAGTGTTATACTATTTACAAACATACATGTGCACTAAAACCTGTCGGTGAGCGTGAGTTTGATAATGACGTCCCAGACGAGAGCGGATACTCTGTTTTCCTCTATACAAATGTATGGTAAGGCATATCTACATTTGTACGTTTAGGCATTATATCTATATACATGCAGCGTTTCAGGGAATATTAAGTAAGAATATAAAATAGGGCATTTTTGCACATGGGAAAACGGTTCGCAGCTTCCATGGCTTAAGGAGGGGATAGGACCTTTAAGTCACATCGTGGTTGAAATGTCCACTTGTCCATCCACCTAGACGCCATCGCAGCAAACGCACGAGAGCAAGTGTTGGGGTCTTGTGTTTCGCAGATATACAGCACGTCATGCATCGGTCAACAATTTTGAATTTGCTTTAATCATCGACGGATCTTGCGAATTCCCTACATCCCTAAGGAAGAACCCCCCTTAGAGACTTTATATTACTTTGCATATTAAGCACACCGTGATAATAAAATTGTGTAGAATCTTTAACAGACTATGTAACATCCAAGTGTTCATATATTACATGCACATGGTCCAAATGGTAATCTGAAAACATTGACATGTATGCCTATATGGCAGATTCGCTAGAGTAAGTACTCTTTTGTTAAAGAGAAAAAAATCCCCGTATTCATTTTGTATTCGATAATTCGTATTCGCTTAACTTGCGAGTGTGATATTCAACGAATATATTTCCCTGGATGCCAGCGGGTTTTTACTGGCGTATAATTTAGGGGCGCTATATCTTTCGTCAAATACAATCGGCCCACCTTTGAATTTATGCCCCGAATTTTGGGTATCTGCGATGATATATCACAGAAGCAGTAACAGGATAAGGAGAAGCTATCCGCAATTAGCATAATTAATTAATTCAGCAATAATAATAGTCTAATAGCTCGATTCCGTTTTGAAGTGCGCGTGAGGAGATGTGCGCGCAAGCCCCAAATATTTCTGTACAATCCACTAAGAAAAATAAAAACGTCGTCACGCGAGCTTCCCCCATTAAAGCATTACTTAATCGAGTTCTAATTAATAGTAAATAGTAAACGTTCGTCCGGTGTACCGACCAAGAACGGTGAGACGCGAGTGGCTGTCTCTCTCTCTCTCTCGACCTGGACTCTCCATGGACTTGATACGTCACACGTGCACATGTACGCAACATAAACGTTCTTTGATGCCCTTCATATTCATATTGACCTACGGGGAGCAAGGACGATTTTCTAGTTTGCCTCTCTCTCTCTCTCTCTCTCTCTCTCTCTCTCTCGCTATCTTCCTCTCTTTCTCGTTCTCTTTTTTCGCTTTCTCTCTTTCGGAGACAAACCGGGAAAAGCTACTGATGATCGATCCACGACCTATGAGATTCGTATTGGGAAAGTGCTGCCCTCTATCGGCCGCTCGCTTGCGGCCTGGGTGACGACTGTTGCTGACTAGCGTGCGGTGTGTACGAATGAGTGTCTAGGGCGTCCGTAGCTGCGCAGTGGTGCCGCCAAAAACAAGTGGCGGCGCTCGCGCACGTGACACACGATATGACTGAGGCGCGACGTCATCGCTGCGTTCGGGCACACACGCGTTCTTCGTGCATTGCTGAGACACAGACATGCTGTACATGTTACCCTGTTCATCGAGAGATTTCTGTGCACCGCATCACGCACGCACGCACACACACACGCATGCACGCACGCGCACGCGCACGCGCACTTGCGGAACTGTCAGACGTCACTGTGTGCGAGCGTGCGTGCGTGCGTGGGTGGTGCGTCTCTCTCTCTCTCTCTCTCGTCGCTTGTCTCGGGGTTTTCGAAAGCAAACGCGAGACGTTCCTGCGGTGCGCACACAGCGGTATCGACCTAGTATGCATAGACCCTGGCGACACGCAGGAGCGTCACGGTGACCGTGCCCGCGGCGCGCACCCTCCACCCGCGCATGCGCACGCGCGCGCGACAGGTGGCGACTTCGCCGGGGACTCTCCTCGAGTTCTGACGACACCCGCATTTTTCCCCTGCTCCGCCGCCGCGCCCGAGGCGCGCGCGCGTGCGTGACGTCATCGCACCCGGGCGACGACGTCATCTCCGTAGTTCGGCCGCAGCGTCGCCGGCGCGTCGTCGTCGTGACGTCCCGTCGCCGGCCGCGTATCACGCCTCGGCGCGGCCCGACGAGCTGGTCGGCGTCGGCGTCGTCGCGCGGCACGGCGTCTGCTGTCGGCGCTGCGCCGACGGCGAGCCGATAGGTGTCGCGCCGGGCGCCGTCGGCGTGCCGGGATTCGAGGCGCCGGAGGTGAGGCTGTGCACGGACAAGGGTCGAGAGAGCTGCAGTGCCGGAACGCTGATCGACACCGACTCCACGCCGTTAGGGCTGCCTGGAAAAACGAGTCGTAGGCCAGCGGTCAGCGACAGGGGAGTGAATTCCCGGTCAGCGGCGGGGCGGTGAACCAGCGGTCAGCGACAGGGGAGTGAGTCCCCGGTCAGCGACGGGTGCTGGACAGTGCATATAGAGCGGCGCAACGGCGCTAACGGAAAAGCGTTTTTTTCTTCTCGGACATTTTCTAATTCTCAAGATTTTTTTTCTATGAAACAACGCAAGGCAGCGATGATTTTTTTCTTCGATAAACGCTAGGCAATAAATACTTTTTGCTCAGAAGAACGCTAGACAATAAACATTTTTTCTTGGAACAGCGTTAAGCAGAATTTTTTTCCGGAAACAACCCTCGATAGCAAATTTTTGTTCCTGAACAGAACCCCAGATTTCAGTGGGAACAACAATCGGGGATGTTAAGCTGCTATGTCGCTAACAAGCGGGGGAGGGGAGGGTGAAACAGCACTAACTACGCAGTGCAAACAGGGGCAACGTTTATGTACAGTATGTTAAATTCATAGTGAATTGGAAAAGGACTACCATTCTCTGCATATTCGTTACGAAAGGGAATTCATGGAAGTATCTAAGTACTAGACGGGGGATCTATTTTATTTTTACATATGTGTTATTTAACCCGGTGGGTGAAATGGGTGTATATGCAGGTTTGCACGCCTACATGCATCCGTTAAAAATCCTTAAACTATTTACGCACCAAAATCAACGAAACCAAAACTAGTGTATACTTCATCTACGTATACATATTCACAATGTTCACACATTTAATCTACTTAGGTATCTACCGTGACAAAAAACACCATTACTGCCTAGACGGAACTTGCCATTCCGTCAGATTACAAAACACACCTGAACAAATAAAAAATAAACAGCCTTTAAAGCGTAAAGCGATTCTAAAACCCATTTCTATAAGCATATCAACGTCCTTAACGCCTATGCCTAAAGCCTGCTAGTGGTCGGAGTGTAGATGAGTGTACGGGAACATGCACATGAAAGACTAACATGCGACTACCGACGTGCTAATAACATGACAGTTTCTATTCGGGGATGACATCCCCTTACATGCAGTTGTATTGCTACCTGCGTAACGGTGGCCTGCTCCGGAGTAACACAGCCTACATGCCACGATGCGACGCCACGTGTCGTGTCGCTACACGTGCTCATAACCAGATTCGCAAACCAGGGGAAACAACGAAACAACGAAATACGCATGCGCCAACAACCCAAACAAGTGAACAGCCCGCGGCGATTGTTCAGATCGCCGCTCGTTCTTTTTGACTTAACGGGTAGCAACGTGCAGACGGGTAGCAACGTGCAGACGGGGAAGCTCACAAAACACGCGTTTACCGTGTGTAAAAGAAGACTTACAGCAAGCAAATGTGAGAGTGGCATTTTCTGAAAGTCCAATGCGATCACATTGCAACAGGTGGTAATCCAGACTCCTCTACAATAAATATGACAAAACATCGAACTGTGCACATTGATATCCCACGGCTGTCGTCCACGCGACCTATCAAAACTCCTCGATTTGTTATAGTTTTAACAATGAGAAGCATATATATATATGTGTGTGTGTGTGTGTGTGTGTGTGTGTGTGTGTGTGTGTGTGTGTGTGTGTGTGTGTATGTGTGTGTGTCTATGTGCCTATTATGGCTATATAAGGATAGTGTGGAAACGCACGAACGCTGAAATGATCTCTATCGCCGCAATTTCGACGAAGACGTATTTTATTTTAGTTAATAGATTTCTTTAAACGGATTCAATTTTAGCGATTTATTTTATTCATTAACGCATGGCAATTTAGTATATAGTAGGTATTCGCTGACGTAGAACGACTCGCTTAAGACTCCTAGCGTGACCAATGCTGCTGCTGCACTAGGGACCATCAGTACAGCGAATGCGACGGTGCGCGTATGCAAAATACGGGCTTCTCGTGCTAGTGAAGTGTGTGCGGTACCAATGTGACAAACACATCAGTGCGTAGACATGTGTACAGTACAAATAGTGATACTTTCTGTGAGCGCGACCGTGAGTGACGAAATCGCGTGGACACCTTAACATCCGCAATGTGACCGATTCGCCCCCTGGAAATAGCTTATAGTTTGCAATTACCGACGGTAGGTGCCGCTAGTGTTATCCATAGTAATATTACCTTACCCAGTAGGTCTCAGGGGAGAAATAGTGAATATAAGCCGCGTTCACACGGTCATGATTTGGCTCGAGCCAAATGGGCTAGATTTGGCTCGGGCCAAATCTGGCTCGGGCCGGTTTGAGTCGGAGCGTTCACACGTAGTAGTGCCGTACGCAAGTAGGGGGGAGGTAAATACTGTCTGTAAAATTCAAATTCAAATTCAAATAAATTTTATTGCACAAATATCTCACAGATACTTTGGCAGTATGTCGCGAGATGGCGTTGTGTACGATTTAGAGTGTTTACTTACGTTCCGAGTTCAATTATCAATCTTGAAAACGTGCATCCTGATCAAATTTGTCGAATTTTTATACTGTTTTGGACTTTATTTCGTCGAAGTACACGTTTGACACTCGCAGCATCTACCGCTCAACCGATTCTACCGCTCTACCTCTCGCCGAAAGCTGGTGCTAAAATTTGGCTCGGGCCTGGTCCGACGTTTTCGATGGGACCAAATCTGGCACGGGCCTAATTAGGCTCGGAACAAAAACGTCCGTGTGAACGCTCGGCTCGAGCCAAATCTGGCACGGGCCTAATTAGGCTCGGGCCAAAAACGTCCGTGTGAACGCGCCTATAGAAATAAGTTGTGGATATAGAAATCAGTTAACCCTAAGTCTAACCCTAACCCTAATCCTGACCCTAACCCTATCCCTAATTCTAAAATAAAACAAAATTATCCAAAAATAATAAACAATAAAATAAATAAAAGACAAAATTAGCCAATCAGAGCCGTTTTTGTTAGCATTTAACGTGCCCTCCAGCGGATCCCTATCTCTCCCCTGTGCAAAATTTACATTACCTACATAATTACTGCATACGTAGATGATTACGTATACACCTAACGTAGTAACGTTCATTTTTAATTTTACGTTTTTAACCCACAAAGGGGAAATCCAGAGTCTAGTATTCTCCCAAATCTTACCTACGCAAGTGCAAGTATTCATGTTAGCGCGTTTGTATCCGCCCCGTGCATGCACTGAAATGCTACGAAAATCTTTTATTCGTATTTGTAAAATAAATTAAAGTAAAACAATTTGTATTTATTTAATATTTAACCGTTCTGTTGCTGTGAGACGGCCATGTGGAAGATAGGTCCGCGCCAATTTATTGTGTCTGTACCTAACATGTTTTACCGTCGTTAAATAAAGTTTTTACTTACTTACTACTCATAGCGGTGCCATAACTAACTGGTGTACTCGGGGAAGATCGGGAAGAAACAGGAAATTTTAGAACACGCGTATATTAATTTCATGGCATACAGCTGAACATTCGTTCCCTCCTGGCCCCACTGTGAGTGAATTTCCAACAGCAGCTCGTAGATTAAAGCACAAAATACTGGATTCCGAAGTACTTATGTTTAGGTATAGGTTACGAAATATAGCTGGAAAGCTTGCGTGAATAAAAAATAGAATTAGATATGGCGAAGTGTGTGTGTGGGGGATGGGAGTGCTAAAAAGGACAGGATTAGTGCTCGTATTATATAAAAAAGACAAAACAACTACGGCTACTTAATTGAAAGATGTAAGTGTAAAAACGTTCACGCCTTCACTGGCGAATGCGGGCAGGTGAGTAGAAAATTAGTAGAAATTAGTATACTGTTAGTGAATATTCAAGACACGATTAGCACACGAGGGCTATACATCTCGTGGTCACCTGAAAGCTGGACTCACGATGTCACCAAATTTTTTGCGACGACTCAAAAACTAGCTAATCTAACGCCCGATTGAACAGCCTTAGCGGTGCGTGAGTAGCAACAACAATTAGGTGGATTAGTAAAAGACAAACCTATGGAGCGCTTAGCTTTGGTAGGTGATCCGTGGCCAATGTCAACTAGACGGGGCGGGGATTTTTCTACATTGCTTTGCGGCCGTGTGCGGGGCAACGAGTCTTCACGGTTTTCTGAGTGGTTAAACATCAGCATAGGAATAGACTCCTCACCGTTGCCTAAAGCGAGTACACAAACAGAAAGCTTTGTAGTTGTAACGTGACTGATGAGGAGACACGAGAATCAACTGCTCACGTCACCTCTACCTCGGGGTTGCTCCGTCTGCCACGGCCCGTGTGATTTTAGGGCGTACGTAGGCCTACTCGCTTTCCACGAATGTATTCGACGCTGCATGATTGCTCTCGGCGTTACGTCGAACCCACCCAGCCAAAGAACCTTACGCCACTGAAAAAGTAGCGCGATCGCGACGTCACGGCACTAAGGCTGCGGCATTCTGGGTTCGATGTTGCAAAGCACGTTTGTCCGTGACGTCAGTCAATAGGAACGACGATTTCGATAGATTATTTACGCCGGTTTATCGTGATAGACGTCGACCTATGGTAAACGCCCTTCAAACATTGCGCATGGGCAATGAAAGTCAAATCCCCATGCGCATGCGCAATGTGTCACGTGCCATGTTAGACACGCTCATGCCCATGCGCGATGTACAAGGGGGTTAGGCCGTTAGCCATACGAAGGACGTCTAGCACGCTACATTGGCAATGACCCGGTGCTTTCTGCGCATGCGCGATCAACCATCGATATCACGTCGCGGCGTCCATTTTTGTTCTACTTTGGTCAATTTCGAAACAAGCAATTTCTCAATTAATCGTTGCGTAAATATTAAAAGCGTGCATGTAAAATTTTTGTAAGGAGCAACCCAGAGGCGTGGTGACGTACGTAGCTAACCCACGAGCGCGTTCGGGGTAAACGCTAAGGGAGACACGCACGCACGCACGCACGCGTACGGACGCAAGCACGCACGCACGCACGCACGCACGCACGCGTACGGACGCACGTACGCTGTTAGTATTTGAGCAATAGACGTGTGCATGCAACGCGCACACACAAACTCACCAACTGACAGGTCACCACTTACCAGATCAGACAGTTAATATACAGGCCAAAGCACAAACAAACGCGCAAATACAACAGCACTGTATATATATATATATATACACACACACACACACACACACACACACACACACACACACACACACACACACACACACACACACACACACACCAGACATAGATAGATATATGTACTTCTGAAAGTGCTCACGTTGTTACTGAGATAAATATCGCGCACTATATCACTGGGATCATAACAGCGAGATCGCTATCCGCCCCGTCAGTTTTCCCTGTGCGCGACAGTTCTCTTTGCATGGTTGCAAATTGTAAACAGCGAAAAAGCTATCGACAATCCACGGAATATAGCTTAACGCCGATACAATTATCAAGAAGAAGGGAAACGTGAGCTCTTCCATGTACATAAGAGGCCTGGATAGCGGGATAACCTTTGCAATTGTATTTGAGCAAATCACGTATACAAGAGAAAATCACATCTAACACGATTTTGTTTCTAAGATAATGCGCGCTAAATCTTTCTAGCTATTTCACAGAAATCATGTAAACTGGTCAATTCGACGTGCAGTACCCGGAAAGATACATAACAGTACACGCGCGAATACACGCACATCACTGTACAGAGAGAGAGGCGCTCTAAAGGCGGCCGATATGATCAGCATTCTTAAAGCGCCTTTCAACAATGCTACACGTTCATTAAGAAAACACGCAGCCACGCTGTAACTTGCGGGGGCAGGTGGGCGAACAATGCACGCGGGGCTGGCGTATGCAAATTACACATGAACGATCGACGCATTCTGCGGTGTCGTATTTCCTAGCGCTTTGCTGAAAAGAAAAATGGAGTATTAGAGCCATCTAATGAAATCAAATTCGATGCTTTATCGGTGCGAACCATCCACGCGTCCGATCCGCTCTCCGCCTTTGGTATTTAAATCTTCCATAAACAGACTATAGCTCGCCGACGCACATCCTGGCGCTATACATGTAGGCACCTCCTGTGATGCACACGTGCCTCTCGTCCTCTTTCTCTAGCCCACGGGGCTACATCAATGAGAGATAAAGAGAGAGAGAGAGAGAGAGAGAGAGAGAGAGAGAGAGAGAGAGGAGAGAGAGAGAGAGAGAGAGAGAGAGAGAGAGAGAGAGGAGAGAGAGAGAGA